GGTTTTGCAGATTCAAAATTAAATTGTAAAATGTTTTGTTGATTTTTTTTTTCCCAAAAATCTGGACGTTTCAGGTAAAAACTCCACACGGAGGCATAAACTACAGGTGTAGGACTATGTTATTTCATACAATTTAAAACCCAATTATCATCTACAATTTTGAAGTGACGTCATCACATTATTGGTGGAGATAATTAGACAAATTTTGGTTAGCGTTTTTCCATCTACATGATTTTCCTAATATGAATACAAAATTTGACAACAATCGGCGCAGCACTTTCGGAGATTATCTATCTAATAAAAATCCCAGGACGGCAGAAATACGGACAGAAATACGGACAGACGAACGGACAGACGAACAGACAAACCAACAGACAGACGAACAGACAGACAAACAGACAGACGGACAGACAGATAGACAAACGGAAACAGGAGATTACTTTTTTCGTACTGTAGGGGTCATGAAACTTCGAGAAATCATAAAAGTGGCAATTCATCCGATGGACTCGATTAGCTTATATAACAACATTTTGCAATTTAATTTTGCATAAATAAAACATCAATTGGTGGTCTACGATATTAATGTCCGCCAAAATGATGCTTATGTTATAGGATGGTAGTACAAGAATTAGAAGTATAAACCATTATTTCATTCAGAAACCACAATGAATCAACATACGACACTTGGGGACACGGTATTTAATAATGGGCTGAAACTAACCACCAGCTATCAAAAGTTTAAGTACCAGATTTCTGAAGATTCATTTCTTACCTAATCATTATTTCGCGGCACGTCATGATTAATTTAAACTAAAATTGCTGTTAAAAAATGTCTAATAAAAGAAATAGTAATCAAAGAACACACGGCCACACGCTGATATTTGAAGGGTAAAACTGATCGGAAAAGACGTTAGGGTTTGAAAGATAAGAACACCCGTAGATTTAAATAATTCATCTACGTAATATGTGGTCATCAGTCTCTATGTGTCACGGAAGTACTCGTTTTTCATTACCTGTTGTCAAAATTTTTACGTATGGTTATTCGTTATTTCATATTTTCTCAATGTTATCACAAAATTGGAGCAATGATAACCAGATAGATACAGTTAATCACAACTCATTCCTTGAAATAAAGCATGATCAACAAAAATTATGCTCAAGTTAACGTTGGCTGAGCAAGCTGTCTTTCTCATCGACTGTTAGGCACAGCGGGGGATGAGAAAGACAACTGATCATTCCAAGTCAACAATGATTCTTACAATCACACGTTATTTTATTGCTGGAAAGATGCCGTACAATGTATTACGAAATTATGGAGGTTATCTTTTATTTTACCATACTTAATAATTTCTCGTATAAATGTTGTAAAATGTGTTATATCGGTGCAGGTCCGTAGGTATAGGCTACAGATCGATCACTTGGATACAGTATACATATATAGTGATATACTGACAACAAGAGACAAAATTCAAACCCATTGTGCAAATTTTAGTATCTAAAAAGTTAAAATAAAGAATAAATTCAAGCAATATAAATACGAACAGGGTTAATAATAGAGAAAACTGTGTAACCACCACAGACTAGACGAGATAGTTTAAACAACCTACCCAAATTGGGGAGAATTTGGGGTTCCTAGGAAATTGGATCTGGGACGTGACAATACAGACGATGTATTGAAAATCTAATGATTGATGAAATTTAAAAATTTCCTTTTGGTATCCTGAATCCAGTCAGTTAACGTTTGATCACTTCGCATTTTAAAACAGGGTGTTGCACTTTCCCGCTGCTTACACGATCACGGAATTCGATAAACCGATGTTGAAATCAAAATAACAGGTTATTTCTGATTAAAATTTGCTTCAAATAATAAATTAATATTTTATATCTGGTTCAATTTTAAATTTATCTGAAGTAATTAAGACAATCAAGAGCACAAGTAGCTGAACTGATCCGAGTAAAAGAGTAACTTCGAATTTATCGGTTGAAATTGAACTGTTAAATTAATTACGTACTTTTTAATTCCCGAGCGTAAGCTAAATAATCGAGTCCATCGGACAAATGGCCATTTTTATATTTTCTCGACGTTTCATGACCTCTATGTGTATCCATTTTTATTAGACACGTAATAATAATAATAATAATGATATATTTGTAATAATCTCCGAAACTGTTGTTGTCAAATTTTGTATGTATATTAGAAACATAATGTAAACGGTTAAATGCTAACCAAAATTTTGCTAATCATCTCCACCATGACGTCATTTCAAAGAATTCTATGTTTCTTTGATTTAACTGTTATACAACAACATACTGCTATAAGTGTGGTCTACGAATGCGCTTTAAGTTTTTCTCTAATCGGCCAAATTTTTGCAAAAACATAAGGCAAGCTTGGCCTTTCGCTTTTTATGACGTCAGAACAAATTTTTTATTAACAATGATAAAATAAAAATTATACTATTCAGAACATTTGGTTCGATTGTGGTTTAATTAATTAATTTTAGTCCTCTGTTATGGGATGACAAACTCATTCAAATCAAACTAATTTCTAAGTGACATTCTTTCAATGTATAAACTTAATAAACACGTGAGCTTCAGATTGGTATTAGATACCTAGTGCTGAAGGGTATTTTATCCCGTTAGTTAAGTTATTTATGCCGCTGGTTTTTACTTTACAGCGGTTATTTCAAAACGAAAATCGTAAAATCAAATTTTATAAGTTCTGTCGAAATAACTTTCAACCAATTTTTTTGTAGCAACAAGTTTAATCAAAGTTGTACTGTGAATTTAAGGTGAATTTAATAAATTTTTGTTGTAATTCCGTAATTTATACTGTACACATTTATAACAATGCGTTTTACCAAAAGTTCTGGTCATTTGAAATTCAAGAAAAAATATAATTAATTGAGCATATTTTACTGTCATGTAAATAGACCGCCATTTAAGATACTCAACAGCGCTGGTTTAGAAAAATCAGAGCAGGTCTTCGACAATATAATAACCATAGCTTTATTAAAACTACTTTCACTGAAAAAATCGCCTGCTTTACACTAAATGCAGTCGTCATTTGCTTCGTTACACAAAATAATAATCGCTAAATCGTCTGATATTTTGTAATGACTTGATAAAAATCAATCTACGATAATTCAAAAAAGCAATTTTCTTATGAATTGCACGTTAGGACAGTGCAAGGTAAAAGTATGTCCGGCCGGTTTACCGAGTTTTTAATCGAGCCGAGATCTTATAATACTGACCGTGCACTCAATGGAAATGTACCTTTTTGTCCCTCGAAATTAGCAACGCGGTCACAAACCTTTTAAAATTGGTTACTGTCGATTCAGAGAAGTCAACTGGTGCGCGGACTATTCAGATAAGGATGGAAGTCAAATTTTAATTGCAGTTGTGGCATAAAATATAAAGATAAAATAAATAATTCTGCGGATGTAGTCTACCAAATAAATATAACGTCTAGCTAGCACTAATTGGCTCTCACAAAACATACATCGCTGTAACGTATGTAAAACTGTACGATTCTATTATAGAATGAAGCAAATTAATTAGTACCACATTTAAATATAACAACAGATTGAATTCCTTGTAAGAGAGCTTACAAACAAATTACAGAGCATCAGCACTAAAACACAAGCTCTGTCGTTAAAAACATTACCGTTTTCTACAGACACAATAAAATGCAGCACGAGTACGTTGACAAGAAAGCACAGTTTATGTATATTTACTATCAATCATTAGAAACCGTTGGTTTAGACAGATTTTTCCGTTCATGCTCAAGATAAAACTGAAAATGTATTGCATGACCTCAGTGATAGTGGGAAACCGCTTTCCGGAATACTTATATATATATCAATTAATTAAAACCTAATATCATAATTACATTACATAATGATAATAATATAAATCATATCAAAATAAACCATTCCTACATATTTAACATGGGATAGGTTAAGTGAGGGATGATTTTTAGGACTTTGTAATCACCTCTGCGTCGAAATTGACTGTACTGTTTAAATTTATAAAAAATTCTTCTGTCGGTATATGAATTTCTAAAATAAAAGGCAATGCTAAACAAAAATGCATTTTAAATCGCTCAAGGGTATGAAATCTCGATTAGCAACAACTCTATAAACAAGAATTTGATTGGGTCATCAGAGTTCAAAATGCGAATAGCCACAACAAATTTTGTATGGGGTGATTCGACAGTCCAACTTGAAAAGTAGGGGGATTCTTACTGGAATGTTTAATATAAGGCCAGAATAAAGGGAGAAACTGATGGAAATGTCGAAATGGAAACTTCAGTGAGGTTGCAAAACAGGAACTGAAGTATGAAGCTTTTAATTTACATTCGTCGGCGAATATGGTCTGAAGACAATAGGAGTCCAAGAAAGAAAATCGTGCACGAAAAATCAGTTCAGTAATAACGGAACGAAAATGTTGGTTGCCGGTGATGATGATAGCATTTACAGTTCTTGGCGAATATGATGTTAATCGGTTCCACCATGATCCCAAAGAATAAGTCTGATGTAGACGAACGGGGTTGTTGTATAGACGAGGATGCGTTATTTTGTATGGATCCGTTAGTCGCGAGTCTGTCCCGGCGATTCGGAGTGAAACTAATCCGGTGACCTAGTGAGGTAGTTCCAGCGAGTAGCAGAGAATGCATCGGTTTTAGCACAATGTCCAGTTTGTACTACCTGTGCGACCTGGACGCATATCGCATACTATGTGCTGTCCGTATAGGTCAAGCTTATTTTAGCACCTGCTTGTAATAGCCGGGGAGAGCATCGTATGACGTGCCACTGTCGCAAACTAATTCGAGCGCGTACTCGTGGGTGCCGTGCCGCTGAACCCGCCGTTTGGGATAAGCAACGATTGCAGAGTCGGAAACGTTGGAAGCCCTTGATGATTATGGTGGTGGTGGTAGTGGCGCGGCACCCGCGTTCGACGTCGGAAGCGGCGCGGGATGAAGAAAGGGCTGGAAGACTCACTGTAAGCACTGGTGTCATCGGTGGTGCCGTTAACGGTGCCGTCGGGGAGCAGCTGCAGGTGGCGATTTTTAATGAACATTTGTATCTTGCGAGCAGTGCCGGTGACGTGGGAGAGGTTGGTGCTGCGTTCGCTGCGTGCCGCTGGATCCTCTAGAGGGGGCTGTGGGGGCGGCGTAGTTTCCTCTCGGCGGCTGGGGAGCTCTGGTTGAGGTGCGGGAGCGGCGCAGGCGAAACCACACATCATTGCAGCTAACAGCCCCAGGAACAGCGCCTTCACCATGACTGGGACATTATGTCGCACTCACTGTCACTCTCTACCGGGCCGGTGCCGCCACGGCAGGCGCGAGGCTCGAACGCGGGACACACTCATGATAACGCTCTCTCATACGTGCTACTGGCTCGACGGCCACGAACACACTGACACTACTCTAGCCACTAGTGACGGCACCAGCTTACGCCGGCTCACGTGGATGTCGTCCGGCGTTTCGTGGATGATGATGATGGTGATGATGATACCACGATCAACCCTTTCGTTTTTGGTTATTTCTACTCGAAACTATAACTACTAACGAAACTTCAGGACTTATCGGATCCCGAATTCCTGGTCGCAGTCGCGTCACCGTTGCGAAACAATTATAATACAGCCAAACTTAACGCCACTCAATTACTTTAATATCCTACCAAAAACCCATAATTCCCCTCCTCTAGAGTAGGTCGAGAGACGACGTGCGAGAACTCATTCTTCAAATCTAATTTCCGTCTTTTCTGATTCTGATTTAACGAAGACGTAACCACAATTCTTGATTTACATGTTAAAAAAGGATGACTGACATATTACATGAAACCATTTAGACTCAGATCCTACGTGATACTACACCAACCATCATTTCTATTTATTTCTCAGAATGTTTTAAAAAATCAAAGTGCGTCACTAATACCCCGCTTTTAATAAACCAAAAAATTTAAATTACATCGTCGAGAACGACCTGCATCTTTATGGCAAATTAATTCTTATATCTCATCAATACTTAGTTCTTACTTTCTAGCGAGTTTGTTAATTTCAACCAGAAGGATACCTTGCGAATCACTTTTAACTATATAGCTGAGAATGAGTACATTAAGAATAAAATTTTATTACTATTTTGAATATGTTTTTGTAGTTTATTACGTCTAACCGTTGACAACTGACGTAAACAGTTACCGATCCTGCCAATAAGATATTTGCTTATTTCTAAATAATTTACATCTTTATCGTAAATTTCTGTTTATAAACAACTAGTCTTATAGTTTTTTCAAATATTAAAACTGTATACCGTTCGATGTTTTACTTCCCGAACGTAAACTTGGAGAAATAATATAATCGGTTGTTTTTGACGAATATTTTCTCTATTTTACTTACAGAATAGGAGAATGTCGGCCTCTGTTTCCGTATGTCGTTCCTCTATCCACTTGTCTGTTGTCTGTCGTCTGTTGGCGATTTTAATAAACAAATAGTTTCCGAAATTGACAGACTAGTTACCGTCGATAACTAGTATAATTTGGTGATTCATCTTCACCAAAACTATCCTAGGAAAGTGGCGAGAGGATACGCACATCCTCTTATTAATTGTAAAATCGCAGATAAAACTTACCGACAAACGTCATTTGCGTCAAAATTTTCAGGATATGTATATATATATTTGTAAACAATACATAGACGTTGGTTTACTCACAAATTCAATGTAAAAAAACTTCAAGTAAGTTAACAACACTCTATTTTGACATTTAAATGTAGTTGCTAAAGTTTCAAAATTTTGACAAATCAAGTATAATACACTATTAGTGCGAATCCACTTTATCTCTAAATTTTGTCTGCGACTTTTCTGTTGTTTTCTAATAAGTAAAAAATTAATAATTATTAAGATTCTATATTCTTTGGAGTCTTTTTGAACAATAAAGTAATTTTAATGTTCATTAGAACTACAACCAGGTAGCTTCTTTTAAACCTCGAATTAAAGAATATATAAAAAAAAGATATAAAAAAACTTTATTGAAATTTTATTAATACAGATGCTTAAAAATTAATGTCTGTCAATTTAGTTTTGTTGGTATGTGTTATATGAATTGGTTATTAAACTTGGCCGCATCGATTTTTTAAACGTTTTTTCGTAATTTTTTTTTTTGCGTTCAAAGACTTGTGAATGAAATCCGTAGTACCTTTTTTTTTAATTATCAAGCCATTCTGTGCTCGCTTTAAAATTTTTATCTCCTAAACTTTCTGCAAATTTTAATGCTTTTTGTTTCAAAATGGGACCATTTTCAAGTAAATTGGTGTTTCTTAGAGCCATTTCACACTTTTTCGTGGTTTATTTCTTGTAAACTTGGTAGGGTTGGGAATTATTTCTACGAACTGTTCAATCGATGCTTTGTTTTTGAAAATTGTGGATAATGTGCTGCTTGGTATTCTACATTCTTTATCAACATTTTTCTTTTTCACACCACTCTTAGCCTTCTTCAAAATTTATAACTTCTGTGGAACCGTAAGATTCTTCAATTTATGTGTTTTTTTGAAGCCATCATTCGCATTCAATAAAAAATGTGTATATAATATTCACAATGAATGAACAACTCTTACTAACTGTTTCCACGAGAACTGCTATCATAACTGCCATTGCTGAGTAATCGCAAAAAAATACTCTAGTTCTCGCAATTCTACTAAAATTTATTTGGATTTAAAGAAAATTGTCGGGCTATAGAATTTCGAGTTAAAGAGATCAACATACGTGTGAATTTGGTTAAAATGCATGAAGAACACAGTCAAGTACGAGTTATAGAGAAATTCGACCAATAGAAGTTCGAGTTATAAAAGTTCGACTGTATATTATTATATATAATTACCAACAAAATTTTGACACTGATACGCGTTCCTTTATAAGAAAAAGTTATTATTATATTGTAAATATTTTTATATATTTATAGTTAAAGGCATAAGACCATGAATAAGTACATATTTTTGAAGCTTTTTAGTGCGTATGTTCCGCGCGCCATAAATTATTCAATGATTCGAAGCGAATTCAGCGACCACTATGATCACTATGATTCAGTGGAAGTTACAGCTGTTATTTTAAAAATTTTCAAATTTAACTTTTGAAAGACTAAAATAAAATCACCAGTCAAAAAAAAAACGTCTTTAGTAATTTTAGTAAACGTTGCAAATTCTCTTATTTTTCTGCTAAAGTGAATATTGTGACGCAAACTAGAAACAATAAAAAGGCCCAAATGTAAATATTTGATGGGGTTTTCTTTAAAATCTATCGATGAATCGCAAAACTATTTTTATTTTCGATTAATTTTATCAAATGATTTTAATCAAAATGCTGAATTTAACATATAATTTGAAATTTGCACATTAACCAAGAAACAAAAACAAGGGAGTTGCAATAAAATATAACGATGTCGATGAATCCGTTTTAGCTGTGATCTGAGCAAATTCAGAGGATGACGAGGTTAAATACTTTCGGCAATAAAAGCCATAAGTAATAATCATACAATGAAGAATAATAACAACTATTGAGTTAAATTCTGAAAATAATACGATAAAATAATCTGAGTGAAAATGCAAGTAATGCAACCATAAACTCAACATTGATTTTTATGTCTTTGATTTATATTGGCCGGAATTTCGTTTGAGTTCAGATTCGATGTTGGCAAGTGACACAAATTGGCACAATTGATTTAATGTGGCAATAAGGGGGCATTGTATTTTGAAGATTGTCAAATAATTTCAGTTTTAATGTTTGTGGTAATCTGATGAAGAAAAATTCCATTTTGTGGTTGCATAACCAGGAACTTGGTTTTCGGATTATTCATAAATATGTAACTATTTTAATGTGGTGGTAATAGTCTATAAAATTAGGTTCAGACTCAATAAATAAAATTTGTGAATATGGTATACTTCGTGGCGCCTAGCACTAAAAAATATTTCGACCGTTTCGTTTCGCTTCGTACTTTATATTCTATGCCGACGACCAAATTTGTAAACAAGCTTCTGAAACATTTGGCAGACAGTTTTGGTGGCATAGACTTATTTTCTTATTCCCTAGTGTGTACAATATTTAAACTCCTAAAACATAAATTTAAATACAATGAGATACATATCTCAGGTGTCTAGCGGAAGCTTTCAATGAGATTTCTGCGTCTGTAGATCAACTTTCATGGTTAGTCCAGGCAATAAATATGCTTTTTTTGCTGCAACAAACGAACAAACCCAATCATCGATAATTAACAGGCACAGTGCAACCAAAAAAACATTTCTATATTTAACCGACCGATTCACATTTTTCACAACTTCTGCATAACTCAAACCAATATTTTCTTCTAAACAACTTTTGAGAATTTATTACTCCCCTTTTTCCAGGTACTATAATTAATCGACCAGTTTGTGTGTTTAAAACTGTGTCATTTGATATTTCAAATGACACCATAAACTTCACCTATCAGCAAATTAAATCACATTGTTCAGATGCAAATGTCACTAGAGAATTATCGTCACCCTCCAAAAAGAGGTAATTTATATATTGCACAGAAGGACACTATTTCTCTTCCACGTTTTCATCCAACATTGAGAAATAATAATAACACTTTTTGTAAAATTAAATTGTGTAATTTACATTATATTTAAAATTAAATAATATTTTTTTTAATAAAACACACTATATAATGATTTCATATTTCAAAAGTATCACTGTAATACCTGCCAATCGTCTTAAAAAAAAGGTAAGCTATGTTAAATCATAACAAATTTTGATCTTTTCTGTTGCTTGATAATCTGTCAGAAAAAGGTTTGCGAAAGAAAATTCAAATTAAAAACTTAAAAATTATATTGCAATTTTTCGTGAATCAATTTAATGACATAATATTTCGTTATACATGATTATATTTATGATTAGGTACATGCATATAGTTTAGCATTAAATTACCAAAAGTGATCGGGAGTTCAATAAATATATTTTTATTTCGCGAGTTTAAACTAATAAATTGTGTATTACAACAGGGTTATTTTTATTTCGCGAGTTTACACTAATAAATTGTGTATTACAACAGGGTTATTTTGACACTATGTAATTTATTTTTTGCCATGTGAATTTCATTTTAAATTATATGGGGGAATACTCCCTTATCGGTGGTTAAGTAGTGTATTCTCATGAGTTAGGAATGATCTTATGCTCTACTTTTTTATGAAAGCTACTAACAGTGTTTACGACCACTTTAGAAATAAGTCATGGGCTCTAAAATCAATTG